ACGTCAGCTTGCGTGCGGCCAGCAGTAACAGCTTGGTTGATCAGACCCTAATCCACCATGAGGCCTGGTCTCAGACCGGGCCGCGGGGGCGTTGACCCCCGAAACCCTCTCCAGGTTAACTCCAGGTATGTGCAAAATACAGGCTTTGCTCACGCTTCTTAAGATGCCATAACTTTAAGAGGCCTACTGTGAATAGCACCACAGCAGGCCTCTTAAAGTTATGGCAGGGCAAGGTTAATTGGTGACGTTTCTAGCTGACATCGTGTCCTCCATGTGTGATGTAACGAAGGGGAAGTAGTGTATAGGGTCGACAAGGCCAATGGGGAAGATATTATGTCCGGGTGAACAGGCGTTTCTTTGAAGGTAGGTGTGTGTGTACTCGCCTAGTTGTACTCACCTAGTTGAGGTTGCAAGGGTCGAGTCCAAGCTCCTGGCCCCGCCTCTTCACTGGTCGCTACTAGGTCACTCTCAATGAACCATGAGCTTTATCGTACCTCTGCTTAAAGCTATGTATGGATCCTGCCTCCACTACATCGCTTCCCAAACTATTCCACTTCCTGACTACCCTGTGGCTGAAGAAATACTTCCTAACATCCCTGTGATTCATCTGTGTCTTCAGCTTCCAACTGTGTCCCCTTGTTGCTGTGTCCAGTCTCTGGAACATCCTGTCTTTGTCCACCTTGCCAATTCCTCTCAGTATTTTGTAAGTCGTTATCATGTCCCCCCTATCTCTCCTGTCCTCCAGTGTCGTCAGGTTGATTTCCCTTAACCTCTCCTCGTAGGACATACCTCTTAGCTCTGGGACTAGTCTTGTTGCAAACCTTTGCACTTTCTCTAGTTTCTTTACATGCTTGGCTAGGTGTGGGTTCCAAACTGGTGCCGCATTCTCCAATATGGGCCTAACGTACACTGTGTACAGGGTCCTGAACGATTCCTTATTAAGATGTCGGAATGCTGTTCTGAGGTTTGCCAGGCGCCCATATGCTGCAGCAGTTATTTGGTTGATGTGTGCTTCAGGAGATGTGCCGGGTGTTATACTCACCCCAAGATCTTTTTCCTTGAGTGAGGTTTGTAGTCTCTGGCCCCCCTAGACTGTACTCCGTCTGCGGTCTTCTTTGCCCTTCCCCAATCTTCATGACTTTGCACTTGGTGGGATTGAACTCCAGGAGCCAATTGCTGGACCAGGTCTGCAGCCTGTCCAGATCCCTTTGTAGTTCTGCCTGGTCTTCGATCGAATTAATTCTTCTCATCAACTTCACGTCATCTGCAAACAGGGACACCTCGGAGTTTATTCCTTCCGTCATGTCGTTCACAAATACCAGAAACAGCACTGGTCCTAGGACTGACCCCTGTGGGACCCCGCTGGTCACAGGTGCCCACTTTGATACCTCGCCACGCACCATTACTCGCTGTTGTCTTCATGACAAATATTCCCTGATCCATTGTAGTGCCTTCCCTGTTATCCCTGCTTGGTCCTCCAGTTTTTGCACTAATCTCTTGTGTGTGTGTGTGTGTGCGTGCGTGTGTGTGCGTGCGTGCGTGTGTGTGTGCGTGCGTGCTCACATATTTGTGGTTGCAGGGATCGAGTCATAGCTCCTGGCCCCGCCTCTTTACTGATCGCTACTAGGTCCTCTCTCTCCCTTCTCCATGAGCTTTATCAAACCTCGTCTTAAATCTATGTATGGTTCCTGCCTCCACTACGTCACTTGCCAGACTATTCCACCCTGACAACTCTGTGACTAAAGAAATACTTCCTAACATCCATCTGAATCTTTAACTTCCAATTGTGACCCCTTGTTTCTGTGTCCCATCTCTGGAACATCTGTCTCTGTCCACCTTGTCAATTCTCCGCAGTATTTTGTCTGTTATCGGGTTTCCTCTAACCCACCTGTTCTGCAGTGTGTGTACGTACGTATGTACGTACACACACAAACCAACTTGTCGGTATTTATTACATAGGTTTATACCACGTACGTACACAGGTCTGTTTGCTGGACTAGAGTACCACCTCCTGGCCTGGTCTCTTCACTGTCAGTTTTATTGAGACGTTGCCTTCAGGACCTGATCATGCCTAATATTGAAACCGAATGATGTTTGTCTCATTTACGATATTTTAGCTGTTCTGCAGTTGTCCCGTTTCTGTTGTGGCTCCTGTTAGTCTTCTAAGTGAGTGGTGAAGAACAGAGATGAGGTCCTGCTTCTACCATGGCTGTGATGTAAGAGAGCGAAGGGGTGGGGGGGAGGGGTGCAGATTGCCGAAGGTAAGGTCGCACTGGCGAGCTTCACAAATTATCCAGTAAGCACCAATAGAGGCAAACAAGTGTAACTAGTGTCAGAGCAGAGGACAGCCAATAACAACAAAGTTTTTGCCAGCCTGGAAACACTGCAATTACAAAATACAACCTACCTATTAATGAAGCCAAATGTAGAGAATATTTTTGTTTTAAATGTTAATGAAAATTACTATAACATTATAATAGTTTTATATTACGCATAAAAAAATTACAAAAACGAGATGCTAAATTTACTGTAAAAGCATGACTGTCAGTTTGTGGCATCTGTAGGTTGTAGTTCCAGACTCACTGATTTGTTTACAAGGTTCAGGTCTTGGCTCGTAAACTTCGTTGATGTGTAATACGGGTTTATGGCTTCTTTGTCCCTGTCATACTTAAAACTATGTGTCCCTGCTGTAGGTTGCTTCAGTATTTGTTACGTATTACAGTTTGATGTGGCTGAGATAAGTAGTCTGTGAGACTGAAGTTTATTTTTGCTGAAAGAGCTGGTGGACCTGTACACTTAACCTGCAGAACACCTTTGTTACCTTCCCATTAATTGTGTTAATAATTTGATGTGTGTCGTAATGAAGCTGCTTCCTGTTGCTTGCTGGCTGCTGTTCCCCGCTCCTTGCTATTGCTGTTCACTGCTATTACTGCTGCTAATACTCACTGCTGTCGCCGCCACCGCCGTGAAAATTGTAGTGAGGGGGGGGGGACTTGTAATTTCTAGGTTTTGTGGAGTTATTGTGAGAGAAGAGGAAGGAGGAAGAAATCGGAGGAGGAGGGAAGAAGTCGGGGTCGCTAAATGTCAAGAATGTGTCGTTCTCCTCCCGTGCTACTATGGTAGACCATCCAGAGTTTTGTCACCTCCTTAATACTATATTAATACTTCTAAATGAATGAATCATCCTGGACACGCGATATGTAACTGGTGGACTCTGCCTGGGAAGTATTGTGGTAGTTGTCGTGGTTGGTCAGGCGAGAATGAGGAAACCCATTTTACGCAAGCCTATCTCTCTCTTTTCTGTGATTCATAAACGTCTACCTACTTGGAGGGGTAGAAACGTAGAAAACGATACAATGACTAATATGTAAACGTTCATTTTGTGACATTCGCTTTGGAAGTCTTCATGGTAGTTCCTTGTTTTCTGTTGATTTGTCAAAGCAGTCTCATTTATTGGTATCTGTATATTATAATTTTTCCAAATTAGCTTTATGAAGTTTAACCTAACGTAATATAGTGTATGTACGAAAATCGGCTCAAGATTATGTAGTAGTAAACAGCCAACTTTGAAGTTAGGGAAGTCGTGGTGCAAATAGTTTTGTGCGAGCGAAAGTTTTGAAGTTTAATACTCTTGACAGCTTGTGGTCAAGTATGTTGTATTTCCTGGGGTGGTAATGTTTACATCGGGCTTCTAATATGTGCCTATATGACGTCTCGAATTCGTGGTAAGTTTGTGGCTAACCATAAGTTAGGTTGGCGCGTGCATGGTGTACTCGTTATGTTTGCAGCGGTCGAGTCATTGCTGACCCCTGGCTTTTTTAAGGTGTGTCGAGCAGAACTAATGATTTCTATCCTCTTGGGTCTTATAGCTATTCATCTGTTTAGCGTCTATCTGTTACCTTGTCCGCTGCCTTCGGCACTCATTCAGCCCTTATTTGGTCTGTCAAATTCTCTTGGTATTTTGTGCCTCGTAATCATGTCTTTTCAAACTCCCAATTAGAACGTAGAGTTTGAGGAGAGGAGGGTAATACTGAAGGACGTAAGAAACAAACAGGACGTGCAGGTTGAGGAGGGAAGGGTAATATTGAGGGACCTAACAATATAACAGGACGTGCAGGTTGAGGAGGGAAGGGTAATATTGAAGGATGTGTAGGTGTAGCGGCCAGAACACACCTAGTGGTGATAACGAGGGTTATGTGTATCGATCATGGTGGACCTGCGTGATCTGTGCTGAGCCAACAGATTTGATGGACAGGTGGTCAGTGGTGGTCCCTTCCCTTGCTCCCTGCCTCTTACCCTCTATTTCCCCCTCCACTCTCTCCTACCTCCACAAACTATCGATCTATTACCTGCTCATATCTCATATTGCTATCTCTCTCTCTCTCTCTCTCTCTCTCTCTCTCTCTCTCTCTCTCTCTCTCTCTCTCTCTCTCTCTCTCTCTCTCTCTCTCTCTCTCTCTCTCTCGCTCGCTCGCTCTCTTGCTTTCTTGCTCTCTCTCCTTCCCTCCCTTTCTCCCTCCCCCTTCTCTCCCTCCCTCCCCCCCTTTCTCCTCCCTCCCCCTTTCTCCCTCCCCTTCTCTCCCGCCCTCCCCCCCTTTCGCCCTCCCCCTCTCTCCCGCCCTCCCCCTCTTCCCCTCCCTCCCCTCTCCCTCCCCCTCTCCCCCCTCCCCCTCCCCTCCTTCCCCTTTTCTCCCTCCCTCCCCCCCTTCTCCCTCCCCCTCCCTCCCCTCCCCCTCCCTCCTCCCCCCTCTCCCTCTCCCTCTCACACGCTCTCGCTTTCTCTCGTTCTCTCTTTGCAGTTTTTTTTTTTTTTCCAAATTTATCATTACTCGCGTATTTATTCCTTTTTAATATAATCAAGACATCGCAAGTGGTTTTTAATGCCTGACTGCTTATATTTATCTTACGGATAATTTGTATTATGCATAGTACAAAGAAATGTTATTTATCTTGCTAATAATTTCGGAGAAGCTAATGTTTTAAATCTATTCCCGTTATAGGCAACTTAAGGTCTACTAAGTGAGCCTTGTGTCATATTTGTGTTTATAAAGCTTCAGCAATGTTTTTCGGAACTATACAAGTGAAAGTGAGTGCATCCGAACGTCTTAAATCGTTATCGCATATATTGCAAATGTAGATAATGCATTAGTCTGCGTAGAACAGTTAGTTTTGCAATATATATTTAATCTGAAGTGAAGTGGTAGGAACGTACACGAGTATATACCAGGGTATCAGTGTTTATGAAACAACTTTGGTATTGAGCGTCAGTGAAATTCGTGTGTGGGGGCGGGTAAGTGAACCTGGTGGTTAGTGTGTTTGAGGGTCAGTGTTGTCCTACTTGAAGTGCTCGTGTGTTTGCGTATGTATGTGCACAGATTATGTATTGGTTGGTTCACGAGCTGCCAGGACCCGGGGAGAGCTGCTGTTGCTGCTGCTGCTGCTACCACTGCTGCTGCAGGTGATGATAAACACCGTGCGTTTGTAAAGTGGTACAACCACCACTGACATGTACGCCTACGCTGGAGCCTACTCTGGGGCCTACATGGGCGTTGGGTCTGGGGTGGGTGGTCTGTCTGGTGGGAGCATGGCGGCTCCCGCAGCCCACCACCACCAGGTGCTAGCCACGCCCACCCCCATACCTGCAGCAGCAGCAGCAGCCGCCGCCGCCGCCCACACCATCACTACCTCCCTCCCTCCCACCACCGTCAAGAGAAGGTAAGTACTAACATTTTTTCCCCTCTAATTTCTTTTAATTATCTGCAGATGAGGTTTAAATCAAACATTATAAAGTAATGCAATAAGATCATAGTAAACAGATATCATAATATGCAGAACAACCACTCTGAAAAGAATAGCGAACTTCAATTGTAATCTCACCCTTATATACTTTTTACTAATCTTTTATTTTTATAGTTCCTTGATAATGTGAGAAATCACGAAATCGTATGGAAGTTCACTATTCTTTTCACAGAGGTTGTTCTGCATATGAGGAAGTAATATTAAATATAACGAGAAAGTAGCATTTTGCTGTTTTTTGATATTATATATGTTTTATGTCATATTTTATGTAGTCGATCAAAGAAATCAATCTACCACAAAAATAGAAAGACATAATAGACGAGGACTCGAACCATAGTCGATGAGTATGGCAGTAGCATTCAGCCATAGAGCATACAGTAGGGTGATTTACAACCAGCACTGCTGTGATATTGCTGTACCAGCCGTCACCAGCTGTCAGGATATTATTTCATCCCACAGACGCAGAAGCTTTCTTAGCACATTTATTTTCATACTCCTCCAAGATGTAGTATATAACTCAGATAGGCATCCGTCACGCATTGACTACCTATCCATATCGGTTAAAAACAGTCGATACTTTCTAAATTATAAATATTAAATTTGTTTTTAAAAATACCAATATTAACACTATCTCAAAATTGAAAGTTTTACACACACACACACACACACACACACACACACACACACACACACACACACACACACACACGTCAAGAAGTTAGAGAAAGTACAAAAGTTTGCAACAAGGCTAGTTCCAGAGCTCAGGGAATTGTCCTACGATGAAAGGTTGAAGGAAATCGGACTGATGACACTGGAGGACAGACGGGTCAGGGGAGACATGATAACGACACACAAGATACTGCGTGGAATAGATAAGGTGGACAGAGACAGGATGTTCGAGAGAGGGGACACAGACACAAGAATCATAATTGGAAGCTGAAGACTCAGACGAGTCACAGGGATGTTAGGAAGTATTTCTTCAGTCATAGAGTCGTCAGGATGTGGAAAGTTTAGCAAGTGACGTAGTGGAGGCAGGAACCATACATAGCTTTAAGACGAGGTATGGCAAAGTTCAGGAAGCAGAGAGAGGACCTAGTAGCGATCAGTGAGGAGGTGGGGCCATGAGCCGAGTCTCGACCCCTGCAAGTACAATTAGGTGAGTACACACACACACACACACGCGCGCGCGCGCGCACAGGTTTGGTACATGAACGCAAATGGAATAACGAATAAATACGAGGAGTGGCATGAAAGAATCAATGAGAAGCCCCCAGACATCATAGCAGTCACAGAAACGAAATTCACTGAGACAGTAACAGACGTAGTCTTCCCACCGGGATATCAGACCCTGAGGAAAGATAGGAGCAGAGGGGCAGGAGGGGTTGCACTGCTCATAAAAAACCGGTGGGGTTTTGAGGAAATGGAAGGCATGGACGAGATTGGAGAAAGGGACTACATAGGTACAATTCAGTGTGGGGAACATAAGGTAGTCATTGCAATGATGTATAACCCACCACAGAACTGCAGGAGGCCAAGAGAGGAATATGAAGAGAACAGAGCAATGGTGGACACACTGGCTGAGTTGGCACGAAGAACTCAATCGTGCAGAGCAAAGTTACTGGTTATGGGTGATTTCAACCATAGGGAGATCGATTTCGAAAACCTGGAGCCTCATGGGTTTCCCGAAACTTGGAGAGCCAAGATGATGGATGTGGTACTGGAAAACCTCATGCATCACATCAGGGACACTACCAGAGGGAGAGGGGAGGATGAACCAGCAAGACTGGACCTTGTGTTCACTCGGAGCAGTTCAGACATTAAGGACATCACACATGAAGGGCCCCTTGGAGCTAGTGATCACGTGGTTCTAAGTTTTGGTCACATAGTAGAGTTACAAGTGGAGAGGGTAACAGGAGACGAATGGGAAAAGTCAAACTATAAAAGGGGGGACTACATAGGTATGAGGAACTTCCTGCGGGAGGTTCAGTGGGACAGAGAACTGGAGGGAAAGTAAATGAAATGATGGAATATGTAACAACAAAATGCAAGGAGGCAGAGGAAAGGTTTGTTCCCAAGGGCAATAGAAACAATGGGAAGACCAAAACGAGTCCTTGGTTTACCCAAAGGTGTAGGGAGGCAAAAACTAGGTGCATTAGAGAATGGAAGAGGTATAGAAGGTAAAGGACCCAGGAAAATAAGGAGATGAGTCGAAGAGCCAGCAACGAGTATGCACAGATAAGGAGGGAGGCCCAGCGACAGTGCGAAAATGACATAGCATCGAAAGTCAAGTCTGACCCGAAACTGCTGTATAGCCACATTAGGAGACAGTCAAAGACCAGGTGATCAGGCTGAGGAAAGAAGGTGGGGAACTCAAAAGAAACGATCAAGAGGTATGCAAGGAGCTCAGCACGAGATTTAAGTATTCACAGTGGAGACAGAAAGTACTCTGGGAAGACAGGACAGAGGGGGACACCAACAGGGAATGCACCAACAAGTGCTGGATGACATAAACACAAGTGAGGAGGTGAAGAAGCTTCTAAGTGACCTTGATACCTCGAAGGCATTGGGACCGGACATCTCCCCGTGGGTCCTTAAAGAGGGAGCAGAAATGCTGTGTGTGCCATTAACCACAATCTTCAACACATCCCTTGAAACTGGGCAACTACCTGAGGTATGGAAGACAGCAAATGTAGTTCCCATTTAAAAAAAAAAAGGAGACAGAAATGAGGCACTAAACTACAAACCAGTGTCACTGACGTGTATAGTATGCAAAGTCATGGAGAAGATTATCAGGAGGAGAGTGGTGGATCACCTGGAATGGAAGTATAAACGACAACCAGCACGGATTCATGGAAACCTTCTGGAGTTTTATGATAAAGTAACAGAAGTAAGACATGAGAGAGAGGCGGGTTGATTGCATTTTCTTGGACTGCAAGAAGGCCTTCCACACAGTTCCTCACAATAGATTAGTGCAGAAATTAGAGGATCAGGCGTGTATAATGGGAAGGGCACTGCAATGGATCAGAGAATACCTGATAGGGAGGCAACGAGCCATGGTACGTGATGAGGTATCACAGTGGGCACCTGTGACGAGCGGGGTCCCACAGGGGTCGGTCCTAGGATCAGTGCTATTTCTGGTATATGTGAATGACATGATGGAAGGGATAGACTCAGAGGTGTTCCTGTTCGCAGATGATGTGAAGCTAATGAGGAGAATTAAATGAATTAAATCAGATGAGGATCAGGCAGGACTTCAAAGAGACATGGACAGGCTGGACACGTGGTCCAGCAACTGGCTTCTCGAATTCAACCCTGCCAAATGCAAAGTCATGAAGATCGCAGAAGGGCAAAGAAGACAGCATACAGAGTATAGGCTAGGTGGTCAACGACTGCAAACCTCGCTCAAGGAGAAAGATCTTGGGGTGAGTATAACACCGCGCACATCTCTGGAAGCACACATAACCAGATAACTGCTGCAGCATATGGGCGCCTAGCAAACCTGAGATTAGCGTTCCAATACCTAAGTAAGGATTCTTTCAAGACGCTGTACACTGTGTACATCAGGCCCATACTGGAGTATGCAGCACCAGTTTGGAACCCGCACCGGGTTAAGCACATTAAGAAATTAGAGACAAGGTTAGATCCAGAGCTAAGGGGAATGTCCTACGAAGAAAGGTTAAGGGAAATTGGCCTGACGACACTGGAGGACAGGAGGGTTAGGGAAGACATGATAACGACACATAAAAACTGCGTGGAATAGACAAGGTGGACAGAGACAAGATGTTCCAGAGAGGGGACACAGAAACAAAGGGTCACTCTTGGAAGTTGAAGACTCAGATGAGTCGCAGGGATACCAGGAAGTATTTCTTCAGTCATAGAGTAGTCAGGAAGTGGAACAGTCTGGCGACTGATGTAGTGGAGGCAGGAACCATACATAGCTTTAAGACGAGGTATGATAAAGCTCATGCGAAGAGGCAGGGCCAGGAGCTGAGTCTCGAGCCCTGCAACTACAATTAGGTGAGTACACATCAAGTATGTAACTAACACAACAAGCCAAGTAATGAATAATAACATTATCTCACTGAAATTAAGGTATTTCATATTTAACCTTCCTGTGTTATTTAAAAACCATTGTGTAATAAACCTTACCTTATATATATTGAACACAGTTATTAATTAAAAAAAATATAAGAAAGTATCTGTATCGGCCAAAATTTTTTTATCGTTCCATCCCTTCTGTCCGTATATCACTTCCACGTTGTAACAACCTCTCATCGGCAAACTTTTTCTCCCTTACCAAGCACCCTTTTTACCTCATTCCACTAGTCGCTTCTCTTCCTTCTTCACCCACCCTCTTATACCCACATTTCTGCTGCATTCTTAAATCTACCCTATACCTCTTTAACCCCCCCTCCTTTACCTGTACTCTATATCACCTTTCTCCCAATACAGTAATTGCTTATATTTACCGTAACTGTCTCCTCTTTTAATTTATTAATTTTAACTTCACTCCTACCGACTGATGACATTCTCCTTGTACCCCATCTACCTCTTACTCTCACTGTAGCCACCACTAAACACATGCATGTTCTGAAGTTTACCCATCAGTCTTTTATCGACTTATTCTTAGTCCAACAAGCTGCTACGTAATACAGTTAGAGGCCCCTATTACCATTTACCACTCGCACCCCAAATTTACCTACTACGTCCTCGACAACAGTTTCTCCCACTTTAGCATAATTTATCGCTTGGCTCAGTGTTCTTGAAACTCTTAACACCTAAAATATCTTTCTTCACACCTCTTCCCCACTTACATAAACACCTATAACCCACTTCTCATATCCCGCCCTTATAATCCACATAATTCCTGAATTTATGCAGTATATCACTTCTTCCCTAGTCGATCATTTAATATT